TGGCAGACTCAGAATCATTTCCTGGATACACATTTTATTAGATTTGACAGCTTATTTTAACCCCAGGTCTCAATGTGGCCTGTTAATACAGCATTAGATTATATGGTAGGGACATGACACGGTGTCCTAGCAGAGGGACAATTACCATGCTAACAAAGCAAGAAGAAACTAGAGACACATGTCAAGGTTCGGAATGGCTTGCTACATCTCGCACACTACTTTCAAGAAGCAGCGCCAGAAAGCACAGCCTTGGAACCAAAGGGACTTCAGCAAAAATGTCTCACAGGACTAGCCTGGGCAGGAGGGAAAACACAATGGACCCCAAGTAGCATAGCTATACACACGGCAGTGCCCTCCCACCAGTTCCAATGCTAGTGATCCAATTTTCTCACAGACAAGGTTTTGACAGCTGGAAAACCTCAGTCCAACTCCTGCAAAACCCTGTCAAACCAATGACATCACCTTGTGCAGCAGGATACTACAATGCCATTCTAAACCACTCTTCAATAAAGCCTTTTCAATAAAGCACTCGTACCATAACTGAGTGTCACTAATTGCTGTGCCAGGACATCAGATTCATTGCTGAAAAAAGTGACCATCCCGATGTGTATATTTTATTAATGCACCAAGCTGCTTCCAAAATCCATTGTTTGAATGGATTTATTCTCCTTTTTTGCTCTTCTCTCAGTGCACGTTATTAAATTGTTGCCCATTCATTGCAAGGCCTCATGGGAAGTCTGCTCCACCTTGTTATGAGTGCTGGCCACATTCTAAGGCACAGAAGTTCTCGATACCTAAATGATAGGCTGGAACAGGCACTAAGAAGCTTGCTGGAAATGTGTTCCAGCCACTCCCAAAGGAGCTCACCAGAGCATCTCAGCTGTTTTCTGCCTATGAAATGGGCCAAGACACTGGCTTGTTTAATAATCTCTCAGCATATAAATAAATCCTAAGGAGCTTTGCCAGAAAACAGGCACTCAGAGAACCCATTTTCATACCCCTTGGCTGAACCTCTTAATGAAAAGGTTGCCAGATCATTCAGTCTGCTCCACAGTTTGAATAAACCCAGGGGCTGCCAACCTAGAGGCCAAAATTCAGCATCTGAGTCCAAATCCTGATGGTAGATAATTTGTACTTAGTAGTCCCATACCACTACAATGAAACAAGAGGCTGTCTTTACCTGCAGCATGGACCTCAGACAATTCTACTGACCAACAGCATGTTTACAGGTCACAAACTGGAGAACAGAGAAAAGTCACATCAAGAATCACCTCCCCAGCCCACTCAAATTGGCCACTGTATTGGCACTTTCAGTCCTGGTGCCCAGGACAGAAAGGCAATGGAGATGGTTGTGACGGCGCGTTGGGGGTTCCCCGTCTCCTGCACCCCGAAATGGCACAAACAGACTGCACCAGCCAGTGGAATTGAGGGGGGTTTATTGCTCCTCCAGCACAGCGCAGCACAGATGTAATCTGGTTACAGGAACTGGGCTAGGATGCCTCAGGCCCCCTTGAGATGGGGGAGACTGGGCCCCTAAACTCCAGCCCCTTCCCCTAGGCTCTCCTCCATGCTCTTCCACAGTCTAACTAAATTCCCCTCCAGCCCTGCCCCCGCAGTCAGGGCAGCATTCCACCTTCCTTTGTTCCTCTCCATGGGGGGTGTCTGGCCACTGGTTCAACCAGTTTGGCCTTATCTCTGCCTAGCCAGGTTTTCCCTGCTGGGTCTTGCTCCAGACAGCAGGGGTCACCACAGCCCAGCAAGTACCCCCACTACGTCACACACATCCATCTTGTTTACCCCTCTCCAGTGGGCATTGCCCTGCGCAGAAGGAAAGCCCCCGGCTCCAGAAAGAGATTTTATGGTGCCTCCACATACTGCAACCTTGAAAGCTGGCGTGAGGAAAGGCCATGCCTGGGAGATGCCAAGGCGGCTAGCCGATAAGCACATTGCTGCTCCTTATGTTTTCCTCCTTCTTGGCTCTTGCACAGAATCACCGCCCCTTTCTCACCTCACTGGTCACGGTAATACATTTTTCGAAACATGAGACAACTGGCTGTGTAGTTTTT